GTTTGATCAATTTTGTTTTTGAATTCTTAAAGCATAATTGTGTTATGCATATTGTTTCTACAAAGATTCTTATAGAATTATTCTTAATAAAAATATGCAGAATGCTAGTGTTTAGTAAAATATGCAGAACAAACAAATATACAATTTAACAAACCATAAAAATAAAAAACTATTATGTTTTTATAAAAAAATTGTCCTTAAAAGATAACATTCATATGTTATTGTTGTTTCCCTTGTTCTGATTGAATAAGAGAGTTGTATCTCTGTTGTCTTCTTAATATTTGCATTTATGCCATAAATAATCAGTAATCATATAAAAATTCATATGAAATAATCGTGTTTATTAAAATTGCTTAAGAAATCAATGTAAAGTCTTATTTATGGAATATGATGTATTGTAAAGTCTTATCTATGGAATATGAATTTGTCAAATAATAACAATATCATGATAAATAATAGGATTTGGAGTTAACTCTTATCTTTACAATGTCTCAAAAAATTGAAAAAAAAAACAATAAATCATTCATAATAATGACTGCAGATATCATGTTTTTTTAGTTACATATCAATCATACGGTTTTCCCTTTTTTAATATATATTTATTTGGCTCAAAGTAAGAAGATTTAATTTACACGACTTTCTGCAATATATTGGTGTTAAATCGTGTTGTTAATGATCTTATGGATGATAAAATATCAGCGGGTGATGATCATATTCATGATCAACGTGAATATACTATTGATTATGCAGGCGATGATGAAGATTTCAAGTTATCTGATCATGATTCTCTACATAATATCGATTTTTGAAATAGGCGAGAATAGTAAGCTAAATAGAGGTGATTTTTCTTTTTAAGTTTATTTGCGTGTTAATTTTTATAACAATAATTTTGAACTTGTATATTGTTATTTGCACTATGACGAAATTTTAACTTACAAAGGGGAGGATCCATTAAAACACATTCAAAATCAAATTGATGTCAATTCCGACTATCATTTCGGTGAAACTAGTAATCATAACCAAGGTGATTTATTTTAATTATATATATATATATATATATATATATATATATATATATATATATATATATATATATATATATATATATGTAACTATTCCATTATACTAATTTTATTAAAAGATGCAGAAAACGAAAACGAGTTCATTGATGATGAGACATATGATAGTATAGCCGATGATAATATTGATTTACAGAAAGGTAAGCATACCAATAACAAAATATTTTAGAAAACTTTATTACTTCATTTCGATTGTTGTGCACATCGACGACATTCATTTGTTTCATTGTATATGTATTATGTGGTATATGATTTAATGTTTTTTTTTATGTAGAACAATCACATGTTACATATGATTACGTTTCTCCTGGTGGCTCACCTTATTGGATTTATGTTATTTCAGACCACATCAAACCTAAAAGAAACTCAACAGTTGATTCATATGGTGCAACATTATCAATGTATAAAAACTATGCATTAGAAGCAGGTTGTGATGTCAGGCTTGGTACAATTACAACAACGAAATCCAACATTATTACACAATAAAATTCTCTATGCAATCAAGAAGGTAAACCAAGATCCACTAAAGTGGATACTCTAGACCATCAACATAATAAGATTCAAAGAAGGAGAGACTCATTTAGGTGCGAATGCAAAGCACAAATTGTTTTTATTCTACTACATGGTACTAATAAATATATAGTTGATGATTTAGTCGAGCATACTCATGAGTTTTTTGGTAAGGACAACATGTTTTGTCTCGTACAAAGAGAAAACTTGATTATTCTGAGGAGATGTTTATTCACAACCTATCAAAGCAAAATATTGGTGCCTCAAGAACACATAGATTGAATACTAGACTTCAGGGTGGGTCTTACGTTCGAGGTGGTTTGGTTTCCGATTTCAAGAATAGTACGAGAAATCTTAATTCTTACATAGGTTCAAGTGATGCAAAATTCCTTTTGTCAAGATACTGGAATGGAAAAAAAATCCAAACTTTTTCTTTCGAGTTTAAAGTCGTGCAGAAAAAATTGAATGTGCTTTTTTGGGCTGACGAAATCGCAAAGTGTAACTACACTGCTTTTGGAGACATTGTATCCCTTGATGCCACATTCAACATGAATTAATATATTTTACATTTATAATGTTATCACCAATTTTTTTATATTACTTCCAATAATATTAATTAATTTTTAATTTTTAAAACAGATATGATATGGTTTTTGTACCGTTCACTGGGATTGATAACCATAAGAAATGTGTAACATTTGGTGTTGGACTGTTGAGTATAGAATATGGTAGTTCTTATTCTTGGCTGCTTAGAGCATTCTTGAAAGCATTCAAAAACAACCTAAGCTTGTTCTCACAGATCAGGATCCAACTTTGAACAAAGTTGTAAATGAAGTTTTTCTAATGTCATCACATAGGTTTTGTATGTGGCATATTACAAAAAAAAATTGCCAAATAAGGTGCACATTTATTTTTTATTTACCACAATAGTGTTCATAGATTTATTTTTCTAATACATCTGGTTCGCTCATAATATAATTCTGATAGAAGCAATTACCATCATTCTGACAGAATTATAGCATATATACACAATTCTAACAGAATACATATGATACCATATTTGTCTACCTTATATGACTTATACCAACATTTTAATTTTTACTATAATGGCATATCCGGATTTTCTTCAGATAACATCACAACTAGCCACAAATTCAGATTTTCGAAAGCGTTTTCACTCTATAATTTGCAATTCTAAGCTGGAACCACATGATTTTGATAAACATGGGAATCTTGTTTAGATGAGTTTAATATTTCAAATAACAAGTGGATGAAAGATATGTATGTGTTGTGGAGATGTTGGGTACCTGTATTTTTCAAGCACATACCAATGTCTAGTGTTATGAGAACTACATCATTGTCTAAAGGCCAAAATTGGTCATTTCAAAACACCACTCTAACCAGTTCTTATCTTTTAATGTTTATGATGACTTTTGAGGGTGTAATGGAACATCAAAGATGTAATCAAATTGTCAATGACTCAACAATGCCACAGCTGTTCCTAGATTCATCACATCTAGTCCAAACGAACCACATGCTTCAAAGGTCTACACTCGTAAAATATTTTATCAGGTCCAGAAAGAGATTTCAGATTTCGAAAATACTTGTTACCAATTGAGTGTGACTTCTTGCAATGGTGTTGACACAATTATTGTTTTGGAGAAGCAAAAAAAAATAATAATAATAACATAAGCACAATGCAACAAACAATTCCTGTTGTTGATGACAAACATTAGGAATACCATTACGATTCTCTTACAAAGGATACCTAATACACAGTATGTTCTTACTTCATTATATAATCATAATTTCTTTTAAATCACATACTAAGACTTTATAACATATAGTCATCTACTATCATACATATTCCAGGTTACCAACTCAACAATAGATGGTTCATTCAAGTGTAGCTGCATGCATTTTGAACATGTTGGTCTTTTGTGTAGGCACATATTCTGTGTTTTTAAGTTTTACAATATTGAACGGATTCCTGAACAATACATTATGAGATGTTGGCGTCGGGATATTATTCCAACAGAATTACTTAAGAGGCGTCTCTCTAATGCTTTTGTTGATTCAAATTCTGACCCGACGTCTATTGAAATTTCTTCAAATGTAGACCGTTGTGTTTTATTTTTGAGCCATGATTCTGCTAAATTAAATTCATACCTTGAAGAGATAAATAAGTTGAAAAAATTATATATAATTGTCCAACGCCTGATATGTCCTCAAGAGAATTATTCTACAACCAGATTATAGGTGTGGAGTCAATTAATGATGTGCCTAACATTGAGAATCCATCTGATATTCGTAATAAGGGAACTAGCAGTCGTGCTAAAAGATTAAAATCTAAAAAAGAGATGTTGGAAAAAGAAAGTTTAAAGCCTAAGCAAAAGTGTGGTTCATGTAAACAGATGGCTTCACATGATAAACAATATTGTCCTCTAAAAAACATGTCAAATTAGTTTAATTTGTATATAGTAATTTTAATTTATGATATTAGAGTAACATTCTTGTTTCATGTGTTTTATTGACATTCATTTCTATTATGCGATTGTTTGATGAAATTATTAGATATGGTTATGCACTATTGCACACTTTTTTCTCATTAATTATCCAAGCGTGTTACACCAATATTACAATCATTTATAAGCATTAATTTTCACAATTACTTTGTAAGACCAACAACATACCATTTCCCAAAGATTGAATCAACTAACTCGGTAACATATTCCAATAAAACTATATATTCCAACCAATAATTACTACATACATATACAATTTCCTTATATCCACATATCTGATAAAATTCAAAATTACACAACATTTTGTTTATTTCAAATTTATAGCAAAACCATATCTAAACACACTCATATCTACAGAATACTATAGTTAATCACTAAGCAGAATGACTATAATTTCATACACTTTTAAATTCTTTCAATTAAGGATACATTTTATGTTATTATCTGTCATAACATATTTTGATTTTTACATTCTTTAAGAACAATGTCATATGGGGGCTACTAATATTTAAAAAACACATAAAAAATTCATAACCAGAAATTTAATGTATTCTCATCATTTTCATTCTTTAAGAACAATGACATATTATTTTGTTTATTTATATTTTAAAACACTATAAAAACAATATAAAACAACACGCAAACTAAATCTTAATATATTTTCATTAAACTAAATTGAAATTATAAAGTATGCGCATACAATAGAGAAAATGACATTTAAACATTTATCCAAAACATAACTTACTTTCATAATTTTCAAACCCAAAAAGCATTCTAATATCAGTCACTTTCTAATGTTTCCCAAACAAAGACAACAATATCAGAATAAAACATGCTACCATATACTAGGAACTAAAGTCTCCCAACTAAAACTGTTCTACCATACTTAACTAATCAAAACAACCTGTCCATCTTGAAAACGACGCCTTCCACATCTCTTCTTCTCCCTAGCTTCCTTCACTTCATTCATCCGAACCATCTTCTCCAATGGATTAAGCCTATCATAGGCTTCTGCATCTCTCTCCAACATACTTTTATACTTGTTGTAGTCGGCTTTCATAAGTCTTGCCATGTATTTAACTCTTAAATAATTTAAAGCAATTACATCACTTTGTTTTTTACCTATAAAACCGCAATCCCAATGCCTTTCACATTCCCCCATATATGATTCCATATGCCTCATAAGATACACTCCACAGTCTGATCCTTCATTTGCTACTCTCCATGTAATATTCATGACACGAGGTTTAATTTTTTTGAAAGCATTTGATTTTTGGTAATGCTGTGATTTTAAGTAGCTGGCAAACAATTTTTTCTGTGACATAATACAATACATCCATTATACATCATCTGTAACAATACAAAACAAATCATATAAAAATACTGATTTTCCTTCCATATATACTCTCAAAAGTGCCTGTTCGGTTGACATGATCTATAATGTAGTAGGTGGGTACCCTTAGATCAAAGCATGGTAAATAATATTTACTTCCCTCAACTACTGGAAAGAAAACCTGGTATACAACAGAATTTATAACAATAAACTATATCTTTATAATAAATAATATAACATATAACACAATTCTTAATCAAATTACCAGACCAACATCTCTGAAACTAGGTTTAATTAGTAGACTCCTAATGTGGAGTTTCAGCATCGAATCAAATAATGATTGGGTTGTAATGTATACAACTAGTATCTCATCTGCCTCTAAACATAAATGAAACAAGAAATTATTCAACATAAAACCCAAATTATTATTTCGTAATAAACTTAAAATTAGTACATACCAAAAACTTAGTATCAAAGAAAACTCTCGCAACCGATCCTACATCCCTTAGTTCCTCCATTTTGTTGAGTAATGTTGTCCAATGGTAAATGATTATAACATGTATAAATGTGTTGCTTTTAAAATGATATGCAAATCCTTGATGCAATACATGACCGCTCCCAATGTCCCAAATCTCGTCCCTGCTCAACAATTTTAATCAAATCCATTATACAATTATGTTTTAGAAACAAAGAAAAATAATATATTTTCTCAATTACCCATATTCTTTTTTTTGATGCAAAATTTGAATTGTATAATGCCATCTCATCCTTCTTCACTTTTTCACATATTCGAACAATTCTTTCAACAAACGGTGACTTTCCATATACAGCTAACTTTTGTCCTTTTCCCCCCTTTTCCATTATCATCATCTTCCACACCTTTTGCAATCTCCTTTCCTACATTTCTAGTTTTACATTCTCTATCTAGTGCCAATGTTTCCAAGATTTATTTTCCTTTTTTCGTTTCTCTTCTATAATTGTTCAACACAGCCTCATCTGTCATTTCTGTGGATTTCGCCAACACCTCAGTATGCTCCAAGAACCGTGAACAAGTTAGATGGTTTGTACTATCAACTTTTTCTACAATAGTAATATTAAAACTTCCACCATCATCCTTTTTATCCACATAAATTCCCAAAGCTCTAACCGGATAGATTCCTCCTTCATTACCACTATCGTCTGCTCCTTTGCTTACATCTTCATCAAAACCATGCTCTTTATCTTTCGTTCTTCCACTTCCTTCATTCTTGAATTCACTGAATAATTCATCGTTTTTTTGTAGCACTCCTTTAACAGCATACTATCTAGAAAATTTTCCATTCCAACTTTCAAAGCCATTTGTATAGTCTTTTTTTTTGGACAAAATTATCCCATAGCTATGCTTTATAATAGCCACGTAATCCTGAAAATGGTAGATCAAAGTTTGAGTACCAAAATTATAATAAAATAAGTTGTCAACTGAATAATTGTGCCTATTACTTTTAACTTTTGCCTCAAAAGTACACATCTACTACACTGTTTATGAATATAACATATTTTTTTATTATAAATTTATGTCTTACCTCCTCATCCCCATAATCTCGCTTAAGACCTTCCAACATTTCATCTTCACCCATCATTTCATCATCAACATAAACATCTTCAAAGTCCTCCTGTACTTGCCTTCCAAATACTCCCATATTAATCTCCAACTTCTCTATTTTTTCAATAAAATCACCCGTAACATGTCGGAAAAACGGTACCCTTTTCGTTAACTTCACAGTTAAGAACTTCATGTTATACACAAACACCAGCTACATCTCCAAAAAAAAATATCAAATTATTAATTCAAGATGTATAATTCAATATACATTAAAGTATTCATCTATTTAGCATAACAAGATTATCGTCAAAACGAGTATAGGTCCACTGTAATAGCATGTCTTAGCATCCTTTCTCTACAATTGTTTTCTGCTAACCAAACAATATAAAATATACTTACACCAATCAATCTTGAAAAAGTCTTTCACCGACACCAACTTATTAATAACATTTATTTGATTTGTACCACTCAATGTTGATTCCACAAATGTGTTAATGAAAAGGGTAAGGAAATTCAGCCTAAACATCAGATTGTCTTGCTTTGTGTTTTTGATCCTCTTCGGGTATTCTTCACCATTAAACCCCTTTTTTCATATTGATTCTTCCATTCTTGCAGAATTTCATTGTCCTTTTCACAATTTGGCATGTTCATGAAGTCTTCCCCATCCTTTGGTAACCCCAACATATCATGCATCGTCTCTTTGGTAATTGTAATCACAAAATTTTCTAGAACTAGACGACTACATTGTGGATCATATTGATCTAAGAGATAGTAGTTAAGTAACCCCGAAGTACTATCCATGTCAATATTAAGAAGTGATACAAAACCCATAGATAAAATCCTATTTTTTTTTGTGCAGGGGACATCACTTTCACAGCTGCACTAACCCTTCTGGGATTCATTCTAATTGAAACTCTTCTTAAGCCTTCTGGATGCTACTTACTCACTTTTCTAACCTTGCCCTCCATCTTTTTCACCTTCACATTCTCATATTCTTTTTCCCCTTTGTTCTCTTTGGAGATTGCTTTGACTGTGGATCATTCACTACCTTTTTACCTTTACCAACAACTTCCTTAACTTCCACATTCATACTAATTTCAACCTTTTCATTTTTGTTTTCTCTTTGATCCACTCATACTCTCCATAAGTAATTCATTCAAACTTTTTGGTTTTTTCTTTTAAGGCCTTGCTTCTATAGAATTCTTATTATCCTTTTTAGGTGTTGTTCTTGCAGAATACTTCCTTTTGTAACACCTCGTTTATTAAATGAATAGATAAATAAATTAATGAACGTATAGCAGCCCTAAGACCAATAATTATATATCAAGGGTTGGTCTCGAGGAGTTAACTGTCACAGTTTTACAAGTTGGGGGTTAAAAGTGTAAGTTCTGGGATTTATTTTGTAAAGATTTTTAGAAGACAGAGGGTTTTTGGTATCATTTGGACCTAAGTTGAAAAGGTTTTATAGAGGAGGGGCCATTTGGTAACATAAGGACTTCAATTGGAAATAATTTGAAGAGGGAGGGACTGTTAGGTAAATTTCGGATTGGATTTGAAGGGTATTTCTGAGGTCAGGGTAGAAAGGGTAAATTATGGCCTTGGTTTGAAAGAAAAAGAGAAAGGGAGGACTGATCTTGGCATTATGGGATTTAGTTAAGTGCATCGGGTACATAAGCATCACCCTTCGTAACCCTAACCCTAAATGAGTTAGCAATCGTCACCCCCTTATGCCTCCCGTTTCCTTCCAGCTGCCGCAGCATCCTAGCCAGCGCTGAAGCCAGTCACAGGAGTCCATCCTTTCTATGTCGGAAAGATAGCACGACTGTGGGAGGGTTAGTTACTGTGGTGAACCAGCGTGACCCTCCAGCAGCCACCGACGTCCATGACGCTATCATTGTTTCCCTTTTCGGTGACGATGAGGACCATTAGTAGGTCTCGTGTTCTTATTATGCTTATTGTCGTTCAAGGCCACCATATCCTTTCTCCGCTGTGACTGATCGAGTTTGCTGCTGTTGGGTTCGTTGTTGTTGTCGCCGCCATGCGATTGTCCTACTGTGAAGACACTGCCGCCACCATCTACTGTCGTTGTTGTCGCTATCTCACGCAACTGCCGCCTACCGCCACAAGAATTCTGATGTGTGTGTTTTTCATGTTCAACTCAATACTTTGCGTGTTTTGGAGTTGCTGAAAAAGTGAGGGTGTGCTTTTTAGCTGGAAACCATGGAAAGAAACCACCATGGCAGCTAACCATGGTGGCTGCCACCACATGCCACCACCGGCCAACACTAGGGTAGATGTGTATGTATGTTTGTATTAGTGTGTGTGTGTGACTTATTTGGGTTTTTGCTTTGTAAATTGTAACTAAAAAGTAGACTAATGAAAAGAAACTCAAAACCACCACTGTGAGGTGGTAGCTATCGCCTCCTACCGCCACCGGCCGTCGTGTTGGGTGGCGGTGCGCTTTTCATGTGTTTGGATTGCTTTTTGGATGCTTATACAATATGGACTAAAAACCGTAAACACCACCGTGAGGAGGTGGACGTCGCCGTGAGCTGCCGTTGACCACCACTACCCGAGGTGGTAGTGGGTGGTACCCGACTAATGACCGTAATGGGCCTTATGAGACCCTAGTGGGCCTAGTGAACCCTAATTGATCAAAATACCTAGCTATTGAGACTATTGGGCTATGATTGGGTTGGAAACCCTAATTAGGATTTAGAAAACCCTAATATTGGACATATGGGCTTTGTACTGTCAAGACTTGCATTTTGGATGACTGGATTGGGATTGTGTATCAAGCCCAGTCACACTACATGATTGACCCAATAGATTGATGGACTTAATGGATTAAGTCCTTAATGGGTTAAGTGATAAACACTTAACCCTAATCGTCATTTTATGTGAAAACCCTAATTTCACTTGGGCTTTGTGTTGGTCCTTTCTATTGGGCTTTGGTGTTTGTGCCAATAATGGGCCATCCGAGAACAATCATGTGGACCAGAATAATTGGATAGGCTTTAGGGTAAGGCCCATATGAGGGTTTGGGCCCAATTTGGAAAATTGGGCCATAGGTGGGCCATAATTGGGTCTTCATGATTATGAGATATTGGGTCATTAGAAATGCTAAATGTTGGACTGGACTAAATGGTTGGGCCTTAGAATAAGACCATGTAAAGGTTTGGGCCCAATTTGGAAAATTGGACCATATGTTGGGATTTGACTCATAGTTGGCTTTTGGGCCTTTGGATTGGGCCTTGGGCTTAAATCAAGCTAAGATAGAGGTAAAGCGGTCTTTTACCCCAAACATGGAATTATGGGCATATGTTGGAACCCAATTGTTGATTGGGTGTTATTTTGGTGATTGACAGTTCAAGGACCTGTCATCCAGCAGCTAGAGTTTTGACTACAGGACTTCAACAATGTGAGGTGAGTTACTTTCCAGTAGAAGTGGGTCTAAGGCCACAATGTCGATTCACTAGTAGGAGATATTTGTTAGATGATTGTCTTTGTGATAACTGTCTGGTTTGCCACTATCTGATATGCTTGATGTGCAAGGATGCTCTGTTATATATATGTTAGTAGCAGTAGGGGTGAAATAGTCCCGGAATACCAGTTGAAAGATACCGAAGGGGTATTCAGAACCCATGCATGCTTGGTATTACGTTATGTTATGTTATTATGTGGTAATGGTAGGGGTAAAATAGTCCCCGATTACCGGTTGAAAGATACCGAAAGGGAGGCCAACTGTAACAGCCCGAAATTTCCAGGTATTTATTATTGGTGTATTTTTGGAAAAATTGTGAGTGGGCTCGGCGAGTTGGAGCTCAAACTCGCCGAGTAGGATCGCGATTCTTGACGCTGGTTCGCGTCTGGACTCGGCGAGTCCACGCTGTGTAATGAAACCCTAATTCCCAGGGTTTAAGACCTATTTAAAGGGGCTTATGGCCATCATTTGCGGCCACCAACCCCCAGAGAGAAATCCTAAAGAGATTTGAGCGTTTTGGGAGAGAAAAGAGGCCATTATTGACCTTTGGAGCTTGGTTTGGCAAGGCAAAGGAGATTCTAGCTAAGAGAAGGCAAGGGAAGTGGGCATTCTGTGATTTTTGGAGCTCAAAGCATCATCTTGGAGGTATATCTTGGTTTCCTTTTTTGTTTTTATGATGAAGATGGGGGTTTAGGGTTTCTTGACCCCTTTGTTGGTTAGATTTGATGTCCATTTCATCCCTATTCATGATAAGGATTGAGATGAGATCCATAGAGGTCCAGACGAGTTGTATTCCTTAAGCTTTATGAGTGTTCATGAGAGTATTGGCCTAGGGTTATGAGATATGGGGCAAAAACATCATTTATGAGCAAATAGTTGTTGTTTGAGCCCCAAGGTTTGGACTTTACATGATTATCATGCCTGGGGAGGCCAGATCTATGAATGTATGGAACAGATCTGACCTCAGGAGCGAGTTTGAGTTGTTGCATGGCATGGACTCGCCGAGTACGAAGAACAGACTCGGCGAGTAGCATGAAGATTGCCCAGCACTACTCAGCGAGTGGTCTTGCCGATGACCATTGACCAGTGTTGACCTATGTTGACCAGTGTTGACCTATGTTGACTTGTTAAGGGATAGTTGACCTATGTTGACCAGCTCTCGGTTACTGGTTGAAAGATACCAAAGGGGTAGGTCGGGCACCCAAATATGTCTGACAATATATTTATGTATATTATGTTATGTTATTAAGTGGTAGTGGTATGGGTGAAATAGTCCCCGGTTACCGGTTGAAATATACCAAAGGGAAGGCCAGCTCCCGGTTACCGGTTGAAAGATACCGAAGGGGAGGTCAGCTCCTAGTTGCCGGTTGAAAGATACCGAAGGGGTAGGTCGGGCACCTAGATATGTCTGAAAATATATTTATGTATGTTATGCTATGTTATTATATGGTAGTGATAGGGGTGAAACAGTCCCTGGATACCGGTTGAAAGATACGAAATCAGCATCGTCTTCATCAATATTCAACACCGTTGTCGGTGTGTTTTTAAATTTCGTCTTGCAAGCACTTGACATTATACTCCTCATTCTTCTTCAATTGTTCTTTTTCGAAATAACCCATTGCAACTTCAGTAAACAACTCTTGGAGAATCGATTATTATATACAAAACAAGAACAAAATCTACTGATTTTTTTGTTGATTCTACTAAATATTCTTTGATATTGTGTTCTGATAGAAACGATAAGCAAATAGGGGTATGTGCGATGATCTTAAGATTATGCTGTTAGTCGAAATGAAAATAATTAGTTTCATATTTTAATGGTAATAAGAAATGTATATAAATACCGTTATGCACCCGTTTTCATTTAATGTGATGATTTTATATTTTATTTATATTAATTATTTATTATTAAATTTTTATTAAAAGTAAAAAATTAATTGGTCCATATATATATATATATATATATATATATATATATATATATATTATATATATATATATATATATATTATATATATATATATATATATATATATATATATATATATATATATATATATATATATATATATAATCTTGGTGAATTTGGATCTTTGACCAAAAGATGCAAAGCAAAAGCAAGATGTGGGTGTAATTGCCAAATAAAACTTAATAATGGACGATCCTTTTCAGCTGAAAGTTGAAGCACACAATAGCCTAATCAGTAATCACCACAAAAAAAGGTCCAGACTCGAGAAGAATTCAACCTCAAATATTTTGACTTCCAAGGAAAGTGGAAAGAAAAGCGGACCATCATGACTCATCCCGTCTTCACGTGGCATGATACGCAAAAGCATTTATATTACTC